TATAAGATAGTCGATGTAGCAACATTTACGCATGTTTTAAAAATGTTTTTTATTAAATCAATAACAAAAACACCACTAATTAAAAAAAACTTTCTAGTCGTTATAATTGCGGTTTTTAAAAAATTTTTAAAAAACAATTAAATTTAATGTACTTCCGCATAAATTAATTGCTTTGACATTTCGATGACAATCAAAAACAGCTTAAGAGACGAGGTAATTAAAATTGTAGTCGTAAGAGACTTTTTTTACATTAAAACGCTCTTTCGACTACACTATATGGGTATATATCTATATATATATATATATATATATATATATATATACTATATATATATATATATATATATATATAATATATATATATATATATGTATATATATATATATATATATATATATATATATATATATATATATATAATATATATATATTTATATATAGATATATATATATATATATATATATAGTATATATATATATATATATATATATATATATATATATATATATATAATATATATATATATATATATATATATATATATATATATATATATATATATATATATATAAGATATAGATATAGATATTGAACAAAAAAAAACAAAAAAAAAAAAAAAATACTTTTTGAAGAAAACTTAAAATCGTTAGACATCATTTTTAGTAAATTACATTAAAAAAAGTTTTTATTGTAGTTTTTATTTACATTTTCACTAATTTGTTTGAACAAAATAGTGAAAAGTTCAATACATGCTTTAATTGTAATAGAACTACAAAAAACTTAAAGGGAAGAAAGAAAGGGAAGTTTTTGTGTTAGAGTTTCATCATCCTACAAAAACGCCATTTTTATGTCATTAAAAATTTACTCAAAACCGACTGCTTAACTGCATTTTCACTAATGGATCTTAATATATGATTACATCTTTAATGATTGTCTAAACAGATAGCAACATGAATCCAGAAAAATGATTCCAGAAACAAAAACATTTTTATTTATACCAACTTTTATTATAAATATTTATTGCTCTATAGTATTAGATTTTTTAATGAAGCAATACATACTGACATAGAGGCCCACACTACACCACCTGACTTATATTGTTATATATTTTTTTCGAAATATACAACCTTATGTTATATATTTTGAAAAATTAATGCATTTTTCCATCTTAAAACTAATTGAGCATAATTATCTAGTAACTTTTATTCCAGATAAAACATTTTCTATGTGTTAAAATTTTTTAATACTTTTTTTTTGTTTAATTTTAAGATTTTTGATCGTTTTTCTAATTAAACTTAATCAAAAAATTAAGTGCAACATAAAATCAAAAATGTACTTAAGAATTTACCTTGTAAGCTGATAATCAAAATTTAAAGAAAAAAATATAAAACTTATAAATGTTGATTAGACCAATATTACCCCATAGACTTTGATTACCCTTACTTTACTCTTATTTGTTTTATTGTATGTATGTATGTGTGTATATATGTATCTATGTATTTATGCAGGGGTCAAAATAGATTTTGGACAAAATGAACAAAAAAAAATGAACAAACCATAGTTCATTTTTTCAGTAAAAATGAACAGCGGTTGATTGCCCCCCTCAAACAGGTTATAAAAACAATCCAGGGGACGCTGATGTTCGACACTAATTTCGACCCCTGTATTTATGTATGTATGTATGTATGTATGTATGTATGTATGTATGTATGTATGTATGTATGTATGTATGTCTATACAGGGTGTCCCAAAATTAACACAAGATTTGAACTTGCCGCCATTTATGCAGTACAGTGTTGACGACACTAAAAACAAAATAAATCGACAGTTGACAGTTTAGGATTAGTAAAAATGGAGCATTATGCAATAGAACAACGTGTCTTCATTGTTGAACAATATTTCAAAAATAATGAATGCGTGGTGGCAACAGTTCAAAATTTGAGACAAAATATGGTCGGAATAGTGTTTTAACTTCGTCAACTGTAAAGAGATTAATTGAAAAATTTAGAGAGACAGGATCCGTGGAAGACGCCAAATACATTGGTCGTCCAAAAACAAGCAGTTCAAATGTCAATATAAACGCAGTGCGTGCGAGTGTCGATGACAATCCAGGAACCTCAATTCGGCATAGTGGACAATAATTGCAAATTTCAAGAAGCTCTTTACAGCGTATACTCACTAAAGATCTGTGTCTCTATGCTTACAAAATTTAATTAACTTTAAACCCAAAATTAATTTATGGAATAACACATTGGGCAAATGGCCGCAGAGGCCATTTGCCCAATGTGTTATTCCATAAATAACTCTATCCTATGTACCTTATGAATCAATAAAAAAATTACAATTAAAAGACTAAAAACTATGTTTTCTATATAATTCAAATCTTATCTTAATTTTTGGACACCCTGTATGTATGTACGTTTGTATGTAAAATAAGTCAGTAAAATCTAGAGATGGGGTTTTTAAAAAACAACTGAATTTAATTATTTGGATTTCAGCTGCAGGAAATTACAAAAAAAAAATATTACATTATATAACAATATTACCTTTATTTGAAGAGTACATGGGAAAAAACGACAAAGTTACATTCAGAAAAATTTTGATAAAGTGTATATTGATCATTTACAAAAGTCTTTGTATAAAGGTAGGTAAAAATAAAAATTTTAATTAAAATTACAAAAATTTTATTAAAAATGTTTACTTAATATAAATTAATCTAGAAATGCCTTTTTTTCCTAATTTTTAGGTTTCTTTGTTTTTTATGAAGACTTTATCTAAATGATCAATATATACTTTCTCAAAACTTTTGAAATGTGACCTTGCCGTTTTTTCCCGTGTACTCTTCATTTAGAAATCTAAACCAAAAAAAGATGTTTTATTCTATAACATCTTTTTTTATTTATAAGATTCAAAAAAAAATATTATTTAAAAATTTAATTTAAAAGACAATGATGATGATGATGATTATGATGATGATAAAGATTATAAACTACAAATAAACTACCATTTACAAACATTGTTATTTGCAACATCTTGATTTTGTTGATTTCTGCAATCTAAAATATTTATTATAATTATGTATCACAAACCATATGTAAACAAAATAAACATATGAACAACATGTTTAAATTGTTTTCATATGGTTTACATATTGTTAAATTTAATATATATATATATCTTGAACAAATCATATCTTAAACACATCAAACGCATTTAAAAATATAATTTAATTTTGGTTTCATAGTAGAACATCAAATTAAAAACCTTATGTTGTCCTTGCTTCGTTTAACTCATTCACATTTTTGAATTAATGAGATCTAATCTCCTTAATAACAACTTTTATTTAAAAAATAAAAAAATTATAGCTTACTCAAGCGATCAGTTCAACAATCAAATGTTTTGAGTTGTTGACAACATTGTAATCTTGTTGTTAACAACATTGCAATCTTGCTGTTAACAACATTGTAATTTTGTTGTTAGCAACATTGTGACCTGGTTGTTAAGGATATTGTAATCTTGATATGGCAAGTATATAAAATTATTTAACTTTTAACTACACTACTTTATTTTCATATTTTCAAAAAAAAAAAATCCTTAAATGCTTTAAACACAAACTAAGGCACAAAATAAAAAAATAAAAATTAATTATGTATTCTAAATATTAATATGCTAATTTAATAGTAGTAGTAGTAGTAGTAGTAGTAGTAGTGTTTCACTTTCGTTTTTAAAGTAGGCTTTTTTTTATGCGGTTCTATATTCCACAGGGTCTTTCAAGCAAGGTATGCAAGCAAATTAGAGCTGATAAAGTTTCAAGAAGAATTAATCTTGTTCATTATTTAATTTTACAATAAAAATTTAAATAAATGTTTGTTTGTTATTGGTTGTTTGTGTTTTTCTAATTTTTTTAACCTGTTTCCTTTTCTTTACATAAACTAAGACTGTTATTTGTGGACATAAAAGTGTATTTACATAAATTTCGGTATATTTGAGTATATTTTATATTTCTCTGTATCTATATGTATATTTTCTCTTAGATAAAATAATAAGGTATAAAAAAAAGTAAAAAAAATTCTGCTGGAAGTTGTCAAAAGAGTGTTGTGTTATGCTTTTTTTAAAGATATCTGAACATATATTTAGATTTTTAAATTTGTTTTTAAATGGTTTCATCTTTTTAATTACTTTAGATATAAATATACTGACTAACATTGCCATAAAAAATATGGATTTCAAAAAATCCTAAATTAAATTGTTATATGTTATTATTTTAAAAATTCTTATTTTGAATAATAATAATTAACTATTTTAATTTTTGTTTATTAATTTTTGACTTCAATGGTATCCCAGTGGGTAAACTAATGAGTTAAATTGTAGAGGTTTTATATATCATATATATTCTAAAGTAATAGCATTTAATTTTTTTTTTAATATATTGCTTTATATAAGGCATTTTGATTTTTTCTTTTTTTTTTCTTTTAAATAGTTTTAAATAGTTAAATAAAATTGTTTTATAGATAAAAAACCAAGTAAGATTCAACACTGTGTTTTTGTTTTTAATACCAAATAATATCTTTGTTATTAGGATTGCAGGTTTTTGTTGATTTTTACTTGAACATTATTATCTCTTTGTAGATATGTTTACCACTTTAGACTAATAATATTTTGATATTTTTATTTGATTTCTTTTCTTTTTTTCTTTGTTAATTTTTTTAAATAACAGCAATTTATCAAAGATGTTTATTTTATTCTTACGTTCACTTAAAATAGTAGTAAATAATTTTATAAGAAAAGATAATAGTTCTTAAAATTCTTTTGTGTTTATTTGTTACTACAGTAGTAATACTACTGGTAATATATTTATTAAGAATAGTGAAATTGAAATGGATGATATAGGGCTGGAATAAGTTATTAGAAGAAATACTATTAACTTGACAATAATTGATATTTTAGTGAAATGACTAGAACTAGGCAAGCTGAAATTAATTGTCATCAAAATATAAGAAATGAAGCTTGGCAAGAAGAAATTAATTTATACCTAATTTAATTTCTTGTGGTTAGACGAGTTGAAAATAATTATCACATAAATAAAAGAGATGGGCCTAGACAAGATTAATCATTCTCAAAATGTACGAAATGCTGTTAGACAAAAAGAATGTTTTGTATAGCAAGAAGTGATACTATTTTAGATTAAAGTTATCTAGGAAAAATGAACCAGATCTGTCGGCATTGCTGTGCTTAAAAATTTCTTGATGAAACACATTTTTTATGTTGCCATAATAGAAAGGTAGTTTTGCCTTTATTTTCACTATTTCTTATATATAAGATATTATAATACATTATGAGAGTTATATATATCATAATTCCAATATCAATTTTTTAAAATATATTAGAATTTTATATGCCTGTCTTTATTTTGCATTATTTACTGATAATGTGGTTTAACCTATAAATCATAGGGTGACATGTTTAAAGATATGTGGTCAAGTTTTTCATTGTGTATGAAATCTTAGGCCAGATCAAGATATTCCCCCAACATTATAAACTGAATATATCTGACCCACTTGCAGCAGTAAATTTTAAAAAGCAATAGCATCCCAATCAACTTTGCTTACGTAATTTAATGTTTAATTTGCAAACTATATTAAGTGAAGTTGCAGTTGTATTTGTTGGAGTGCTGCTCCTGCTTCCAGGGAAGTTATTTACCCAAAAGCTCATTTAGAAGTTATATTGAGAATTTCAGCGAACTTAGATCCTACAGTTCATTTACTTTTTTTCAAAGAGATGGTATAATTGGTGCGCAATCTTAAATATGCAACATTGGTTAGAAATCATGTATCTTATTTTTACAATTATGAACCTTCAGTAAGACAAATCTACTGTTCAATAATTTATGGAAAGAAGTTATTTCAGCAATATGCTGCTGGTGGATATGTTAAAATTGAAGAGTAGTGTCTTGCTTTCATAGAAATAACCAAAGCAATCTGAAAAGCATGCAATATGATGCCTTACATGAAGATGTAAGCAACCTTGGTAACAATCATAACCTTAGACCCTGGTCTAACATTGTGTTTGTTATTACCCATTGTATTACCATGTTGTTGTTTCCATGTTTTCAAAGTGATGTGACTTGGCAAACATGTAGAGCAAGATTTTTCAAACTTGCCAGTCAAGCGCTGTTACTGCTTTTACTGCCTGTTACTGCTATTACTGTCTTCATTATTATTTTTTCTAGAAACACAAGATAATATTTTGTGTAAATGTTGTTACTTATGTTACTAATGTTGTTACATTTGGCTTACCTTATGTTGGTGTCTATTGTTAAAAATAATTAATAGGCATTCTTCTGTTTAACCAGCGCTTTAGCCCTCAAGTCTTTTCACGCCAGCAAAAACTCTAGTGAGCGTATAAAAAAGCACTTGCCAAAAAAAAAAAAAAAAAATTTTGTTTTAAGTTGCAACAAAAATTTTTTAACTTTTTTTTTATTATTTTATCTATTATTTATTTAAAGCATTCTTTTTGCTATTATTATTTTAATTTAAATAGCAGAAAAAAATGATTTTTTTAAAATCAGTGTTAATTTAGTGGAGTCGGAATCAATTTAGTGGAGTCGGAATCGCTAAACAAAATCACGATTTTGTTTAGCGATTCCGACTCCACTAAATAATGTCGCGACTCCGTCTCCACAGCTGATGAGCTGATCGCGACTCCGTCTCCACTGCCTTTAATCACTAAAAGCCATTCAAGAAAAATTATTTTGCCATACATACATTTTGTTTATATCTCAATTTGATTTTTTAAAACCATGATGTACCAACATGAATTGTTTTCTAAAAGCTAACTTACTACTCTGGTGTCACAACAGCTTATCTCTATCAGGTACATTAATTTTTAATTTATTTATGTTTTTCTTGTATTTACTTACTCCTTAAATTTTTTTATTTCAGATTTATCATTTGATATATTTATGTGATATAGAAGAAAAAATTATTGTAAATTTTTATGAATTTTTTAAAAACATTACTAATATTGTTCCAGTCAATATTCAAACTTCAACGTTGCATATGTCATTTTTAGGTAGTTTCTAGGCTGTTTAAATTTGTTTCTTATTTACGTGATTTTACAAGCAAGGTCTGCAAGCAAATTTGAGCTGGAAAATTTTTCTTAGCCTTTAAGGAGAATTGATGTTGTTCTTTGTTTAATTTAATTTGTTTAAATATATTTTCAATAAATAAATGTTTGTTTGACAAGTAAGTTTATATACACATATGTGTGCATTAGGGTAAAAATAACTTTGTGCGTTGTAATCTAGACTTTTTATTAAGTTAAAGTTTTTGATGTAAATAAATGTTTTATATTTTTGAAATAGTCTTTAATTAGAAAAGAGATAGTAACAACTAATAACAGTTTTAAATAAAATGATTTTAAATTTTTTCATAATTTTAAACGTAATTATGTTCTTTTTTTTCTTTTCATTTTAGTTGCTTTTTGTCATCACTTGATTAGTCTGCTTACTGTTGAAACATGGTTTTCATTTTATAAATTTAATATGATGTGAAGTTTACTCTATTAATCATTAGTAAACAGTTAGAGAGAAGCTGGAACTTAATTAAGAAATGCTGGGAATTTATCTTAAAATAATTTTGTTTACTGGTAACATAACAAAACTTGTTACTATTATAAATTTGGTGTTTTTTTACTTTTTTTAACCTGCTGCTTTGAAAACACTTTTTATCTCTCCCTCTCTCTTAGATTCTACTAACAATACAATGCAAATAATATTTTTGTAAATAAAAATTGTAATTTTTAAAAATATCTTTTTTAAAGTTTTTGCAGGCTTTACTTGACTTTCCTTTACCGGTACCTGCTGTGTTATAACAGATTTTAAAAAAACTTAACTGATTTTAATACAGTCTTTATGTCGTTAACTATTCGCAATGACATCGCTGATGAGGAGTCAAACTTAAAATATTATTTATAGATAAATTTGTATTTAATTTTTTATATAATATATCAAGTTATTAATGTGCTATTATTGTTCTAAATGATTTTATTACTAATAACCCGTATTATGGGCTGCTTAATGCTAGTTACTCGTAAAACTGTAATACGAACCCTTTATTGGTGCCAATAAAGGTTAACTTTATTAGCACCAATAAAGTTAACCTAAGTTTAAAAATAATTAACATGTATTCAAAATTAAATTAACAAAAATTTTGAATCAAGCGTAAAGGTTGCTAATTGATATACCAAATCAAAATTTTAAACACAATTTTAAACCACAAATACCATAATTTGATTTTACTTTACTTATTTAATTTAATTTGATTTAATAAAATTTTATTATCAAATAAAGCCAGATAGAGATACGAATGAGACATTGTTTATTAGTTTCTGTGATCTTCTTGCTTATTAGTGTTGATTTGAACAAATGATTTGATGTTCTACAGTTCCTTCTGAAGTCTTTTTTCTGAACTCCAAAATATTTTTTTGGAGAAACTGAGATAGAGCTTTTTTTTGATTGATTTTCTATTCTCTAACAAACAGGTGTTAAAATTATTTGATTTTCTATTCTCTAACAAACAGGTGTTAAATTACTTTACCAATAAAATATTTACATATTTTAAACCATTTTTGAATAAATAAAATGAAAATGATTAAAATCATATTTTAATTCAATTTAATTTTTTTGTTTTTTAACCAGCAACAATTTGAAAAATTATTTTCATAACCTTGCCTAAAATTCATTTTAATCTTATTATTTGAACAAAAAATAACAATTTTAATGGAACAAAGGTAGTATGGATCTATGGTTCTGAATTCAGCATCTGTTTAAATCTTTTTAAACAAATATATATACTTTTGATTTGAATGTGTTTCCCATCATTGACCACTGCCTGTCAATCATTATTCCTATTAAATATCAATGCTTGATAATCACTGGTTCTGTAATAATCAATAGACACAAGGTTTTGACAACCAAAATCATTAATAAAACCCTTAGAAAAGATCTTTTTATAAATACCAATGAAAATAATTTTTTTTTTATTTTCATTCACTCCCAAAAAGGCTGCAAGTAACCACTATTAAGTTAAGAGTTACTAGGAAAAAAAAGAACAGAGTTATAGAGCAAGGAAACGGTTGACAGAAGACTTGAAAAGTTGAAGGTTGTATGAGTCAGGAAAACATGAAGATGGGAGAGAGTTCCAAAGGATTGAAGTGCGGGGAAAAAAACTAGATGAATAAAAGTTTTTAGAGCATGCAGGGACAGATACAGTAAATGAATGAGACTTAGCTGAATGACGAGTAAAACGAGAATAAATTTTAGTTGATGGAACTAGAGATGATAACTCCTTTGAGCAATGACCATGATAGTATTTGTAGAAAAGAGAAAGAGATGCAACTTTACAACGATGGGAAAGAGGTTCAAGCTTAGCAGATAGTCCAGGTCCAACAACATTTACAATGCGTTTTTGGACCTTGTCAAGAAGAGAAAGTGAATCGTTAGAAGAACCAGCCCAAATATGACAACAGTATTCCATACAGGGATGAATAAGAGATTTGTAGAGGTAGAAAATGGAATCAGAAGTAAGGAAATGGCGAGCACGATAAAGAGAAGCAACCTTAGCAGAAGCTAATATTGCAATTGATTGTATATATGGTTTCCATGAAAGGACAGTAGTAAGCGATAATCCAAGAAGACGTAAAGAGGACGACTCAGTAAGAGGATTGCCATTCATTAATATAGGAATGTTGACCATATTACGGTAGTTGTTTGCAGTAAACAACTGGGTTTTGTTAGAGTTGAAATTCACAAGCCACTGTGAACCCCAATCTATTACTGAAGTGAGATCGAATTCAAGATCAGCTGCTTGTTCTAGGCGATCGAAAAAACAAGACTTTTTGTCAAGACAGGAGTATAAAGTTGAGTCATCAGCAAAAAGAGCTACTTTAAATGAAAGGTTGTCAGGAAGATTGTTTATGTAGATAAGAAACAAAACAGGGCCCAGGATGGAACCTTGGGGAACCCCAGAATTTACTGGAAATAAAGAAGAGTGTGGGCCTTCAAGGATGACTTTAATAAACCGGTTAGAAAGAAATGATTTGATAATCTCAAAAACTTTCCCAGAAACACCATATGAAGCAAGCTTATGGAGAAGACCAGTATGCCAAACTTTGTCAAAAGCTTTAGATATGTTGAGAGCAATAGCCCTAGCCTCATCGCCTCCATCTAATGCACGATAAAATCTTTCAGTTACAGCAGTTAGCAAGTCGGCCGTAGAGCGAGAGGATCGAAAACCGTATTGATTGTCTGACAGTAGTTTATTTGACTCAAGATGAGATGTGAGGAATTTGTTGATCAAAGATTCAAAGACCTTGCTAATAACAAAAAGAAGACTGATCGGACGATAATTGGAGGGGTCAGAATTATCTCCAGAGTTTTTGAATATTGGAACCACAGATGCCTTTTTCAACAAGCAGGAAAACAAGACTCAGTCAAACACTTGTTAAATAGTTTAGAGAGAATTGAAGAAAGTTTGTTCTGAAAATTCTGAAAAAAGAAGTTAAAGGCTTTAGTGAATTTTGCAGGAGGTAAGACTCAACTGACGGAAAGTTGCTTCGCAGACCGTGAATATTTGTAAAAGATATATTAAAACATTTAGGTGGTGGGGATGGTTTTTTAGGTTTAAAATTTTTGGTTACTTTGGTCATGATTTGGGTTTAATGAGAACTTGACTCATTCATAGATAAAGCATAGCCTCCTAATCAATGAGCTATGCAGTTGTTTCAGTCCTGTTAATTAACCCTAAGCCGTGACATAGGGCTCCTTATGTGGCCTTGACAATGCACACCAAAAGTATTAACAGGGACACCATCCATGCGCAACATGGCACTGTTAATACTCTGATATTTTGCAGCTGTTGATGGAATCAGCCTCTCTGAGAGCTACCACAGAATTCGGGAAACCTTTCTGCCAGCCGGCCTCAGAACCATTAAACTGAGTTTTAGAGCTGTACCCTCATATAGAGATAACAGGAAGAGTTGCATAGCCATTATCAAGAAGGCATAAGCAAAATTCTATGAGTAGAGTCAAGGAGATCCAGCATTCATCATCCTAGGCAGGAAACAATGTAACACAGGTTACATCTACGCCAGCCTAATAGATGAAGAAGGGGTTTGAGGCTGGTTAGCAGAATTTTTCTGCTTACCCCTAAAATTTACTAGCTTGTATACCATTTTATCTTTTTTCTTTGCTCTGAAAAAGTTTACTTCAAAAATGAGAGTAAATTCTTTTTAAGAAATATGTAGATACATAGCAATAAATAATCATTCAAGTTAAATTAAAAACATCTATTGCAATTTCAATTTATGTTGCATATATTTTTAATATAAATTAAATTTTTAAATAAATATTATCAATTTGCAATAATGCGAGTAAATCTTTAAATACATGGACATTTTTTTTTTACATTATCGCTGCCTCAAGGCCCAGGTGGGCCACTAACAATAAATAATAATAATAATCAGTATTTCTCTGATTGTACTGCTCAAAGTGCCTTTTTTTAAAAAAAATAGTGCTTTCACTACTTTGAATAAACATTTTATGTTATTGCCCACTCTCAAATAAGTCAAATATACAAATACAAATATTATTAAAGCCTTTGCTTCCATAATATATTGGACATATTGAAAGAATATTGTAAATTATAACTAATTATATTTGAAAACAATCAAAGATGTACCATCATTGTTTGCTAAACTAGTTGTTCCATCATCAAAGGATTGGCCAAAGCTTCTGTGCGATATTTGAGCATCTGAGATATCTGATGATTTTTGAACAGGAGATTCATAAGGAATCACCTGAAAAAAAATTAAAACATTAATAAATTTAAATTATACAATAAACTTTTATATATATTTAAACAGTTTAAATGTCAATAGAAACATATTATCAAACAAATATAACTAAACATTAAATATTATTTTTCTAAGTTAATTGACAGCCATCAAACCAAACAGTATTTTTATTTTATTGTTTAAATTTTTATTATCCAACATATTTCTTCTCTCAAATATAATTTAAATTCATTCTTTAACTTTGTTACAAGTTAGTACAGTTAATTTTACATTTAAGCTTGAAAAGAATCTCACTTCTACTATAGCATGGACCTCACAGTGGCTGGTGAATTTTAATTAGATAAAACTCAATTTTTTTCAGCCAATCGTTATCACAATAATTTAGTACTTCCTATATTTATGAACGGTAATGTACTCGATGAGTCATCTACCCTTCATCTTATAGGATTAACTCTTACTTCTGATCTTTCTTGGAAACCAGATATCAAATCCGTTGCAAAATTAGCATCTGCTAAAGTTGCATTTCTTTATCGAGCTCAACACTTTCTTACTCTGGATTCTATTCTCTATCTCTATAAATCTCAAATCTGGCCTTGTATAGAATACTGTCGCCATATCTGGGGCGGATTTTCTAAAGATGCTTTTTCTCTTTTAGACAAGGTGCAAAAACATTGTAAACATAGTTGGACCTGCTCTTGCAGCCAACCTTTAACCATTATCACATCTTTATAATGTTGCTTCTCTTTTTCTTTTCTACAAATACTATTATGGACACTGCTCTAAAGAGCTAGCGTCTCTTGTGCCATCTACTAAAATTCATTCTCGTGTTACTCGTCATTCAATTAAGTTTTATCCTTTTTCTGTGACTGTTCTTAAGTGCTCCAAAAACTCTTATTTTTCTAGTTTTTTCCCTCGAACATCAGTTCTTTGAAATTCGCTTATTTCATCTTGCTTTCCTGATTCATATAATATTTGTACACAAATAACAATGTTTAATGCAAGCAGTCTGCCTGTATGAAACATTGTTTTAACAAAAAACATCTGTTGAGCATCAATATTAAAGTCTCTTTAACGATTCCAAAGACTAATAAAAATTATTTATATATTTAAAATTAAATTATTAATATATTTTAAAAAAAACTAAATTTACTCCAAATCGTAAATTATGTACAAATGATATTTATTGCAAAACAGAGTGTAAACCCTAATAATTTTTTTTTGGAGACAAAAACTACATATGACACAGCCTATTAATATATCTGGTCTGGTAATTACTCAACACTTTAATATATTAGAAGACATTTAAATAATAAACTATTTAGAAAGATAGTTTTAAAAAAAAATTTTAACTTATAATAATAAAAATTATAATACTATATAAGCAAATATTTTAACAAAAATTTCAATGAAAAAAATGAAGCGCTTGTGCAAGATTAAATTTTCAAAAGGTTTTATTTTTATTTATTTTAAGATCAAAACATTTGTGTTATTTAATATAAGAGACAATTAAATTGAACCTAGTTGTCTATTGATGGAATTGATAATCTATTGTTTGAATTGATTGCCTATCGTTTGAACTGATTGTCTATTGTTTGAATTACCTTCTTTTTTTGCTGATGCAGTACTAGCATCAATCAAATAGCAATCAAATTTGATGCAGTATCAATCCCATAAGATTTTAAAGTAAAATTCATATTCATTATTCAATAATATTAATTTAGGATAAATTATCAATAACCCATATTTTTAGAATAAAACTATTGATTCAAAACAAAGCTTTTTTTCTTACTTCTTTACATATAAAACTTTTTAACATCAATATTATGGGAAAGTAAACATTTTAAAAATTATTTTCCATAATGATGTTATGGTTTGGTTTATGCTATGTTAAATAAGTTTCCATTTAATAAAAGATATAAAGTTTTTTTCCTTTAATAGCCATACTTCCTTAAATATCTTCATATCACTCCTATAACTGACTTAACTTTTCAGTAGAAGCTAGTTTCCTACAATCTCGTATAAAAACTGATGCTTACATTAGACTATTGTATTATGTATAAATAGGACATTCTATGTAACTATGCAGAGTAAATGAACATTTAGAAATGTCTGACATTTTAATTTTACTTTTCTACTGTTAGTTAGTTCAAGTTTGGGGTCAAGTTGGAAACTATCGCATTAACAAGTTGCTATTATCTCAGCGTCAATTCATCAGATTAATAAACTTCCAACCAATTAAATCAAATACATCAAAGTCCTTTAAAAAACTTTTTAACTCCAACATTTCCAGCGCTAGTAAATTATGCTAATCTTCTTTTTGTTTATGACTCCTTAAATAAAAATATACGATCTCCTATCACAAACTTGTTCACAGAAAGTAGACTATTACATTCCTACTCGACTAGAAATATACACAAAAGAAAACTAAATGTAACATCTTTTAAAACCCAGAAGTATGGTAAACGTTTTATTGTTTATCAGTACGTCTGTGAATGGAACAGGAGCCTTGCATGCATTTTGAATGAGTCCAAAAAATATATCCTAAAATACCTTTACTCCATCTTAAACAATACCAATTTTAAAAAATTCTGAAAAATTTTTTATTGTAACTTTTAGGCATTATTATCCTTATGATTTAAATATTATTTTAATTTTCTTTTCGTAATTACTACAATTATCATCAGCACTTTTTGTTTATTTTTTTATTTATTAGTAAAACCTGCAAACTGATTTCTACATGTTTGTTTTGATGTATATTTTATTAGTTTGTGTGTTTACGGTCCATGTGTTTCAGTGTGTGTCTTTGCTTATTATTACTTATATTATATTAAAAACTGGTTTCACTCCTTTGATCAGATTTCTGTATGAGTGACACGATCCTAATAAATCATAACTTATTATTATATTAATATTAGTTATTATTATTATTTTTTCATTGTAATTATTGTAAACATACTTATTATTACTATTACTAGTTGTATAATTATTTTTTTATCTTATGTTATTATTATATAATTTTGCTATTATTACTATTACTATTATTATCATTATTATCAAAACTATTGTAAAATGATTTACGGAAAATAAATAGCTTGTTGTTGTTGTTGTAGTTATGTTTAGTTACATAGTTATCACAAAACATCTTTTATTGAAAAGCCAAATCATATCATAAAACAATTTTTTTTAGCCAAATAATAGACATATAACAATTTTTTTCATGATTAGGATGATTAGCAGGATTGAGGCAAATTCACAGCTTATTGCTTAGGGTGTATATGATGTACTAGGATGTAGGGTGTCACACATAACCTGTGATTAAGCTCTCTATTAATTTTTAACATGAATAAAGTACCTATAACTGTTATTAAAAACAAAACACCATTATTACATTCAAATTCGTTTAATCTATCTTAAATTCACCAGACTTAATCTTTATAAGACTAATACAAACTTGGTTGGTCTTGAGATTTTATTATTAAATGTTATAACATTTGATTAACATAGACTTTAATAGTCACATACTTGGCCTAAGCTTATACTTACATATTAACTCACCTATTTGTCATGAAGTCATGTTTGTATCCTATGACTATTCTTTTATGTTTTCTTTACTTTTATTTCCTTATTAGAAACCATGTAACATCATTCATCTAGATCAGCTTATTAAATTGAAAAAAAAAAAAGATTTGAGACACCATCTCTAGCCTTAACAATAATTTTATAGGTTTTATAAAACTATTGTAAAGGCTATAAGGTTTTATAAATAACTTTTTTTTTTAAAAAAAGAATTTTTTAACAATTTTTATAAAATATCTACATCACCACCTACTGACAATATTAAAATTTATTTTTATAAAGTTTATTTTTTATAAATGCAAAAAATATATTATTTTTTTTAATTTTTAATATCCGTAGGAAGAATTCGAAAATTTAAAAAAACAGTTTTTGTAAACTAAACATTTTATAAATAGTTTTTTTTTTTTTTTACTAAACTTTTAAAACAATAAAAAATCGTTTTAAAAAAACCCAGAAGGCTGAATAAGTGCGAACTGGTATTAGTGCAAAGCAGTTGCAAAAACTAGGATAAGTGCAAATTGGCCTAAACATGCTGAAAAAAATTTGCAACAATCGGCATAATTGCAAATCGGAATAATTATAAGCTTAGTAGGTTACTGGGGCCCTGGCCCCAGCTAAAAATGGGACTTTAAAAATCCTTGACTGCGCAAATTACATATATTTTGATGATTTGATCGCAGCTTTCAACATTTCAAAAAAACGCTGAAAAAAAAAAGATTTTAAATTTTATTAGTGAAACAATTTTAAATAAAGTAACAAATTACTGATGTTGATTTTTGTTAAAAGTATTAATGAAAGATGTTTGTAAAGTTTTTTATTTATATCATGTAAATTATATCATTTTTTTTTTTTTTTAAATAAAGATTTTAAGCCAAGTCTATTTCGAAAGAAAAAAAAACTTACAAAAGTTTGCACTTACACCAGTTTGCACTAACAAAAGTTTGCACTTACACCAGTTTGCACTTACAAAAGTTTGCACTTACACCAGTTTGCACTTACAAAAGTTTGCACTTACACCAGTTTGCACTTACAAAAGTTTGCACTTACACCAGTTTGCACTTACAAAAGTTTGCACTTATACAGATTCACTGTTATGAAATTTGCAAATCAGTCGCTCCTTAAAAAACTCGTTTTTTTTTTGAAAAAAATCTCCTTTAACCTTTTTTTTTAAATTCTCCTCCATCTTTTTTTAATTAAAAAAAAAAAATCTTATTTTATATAAAAATCTAAAAAGACCTTTAAAATTATTTTGATAAGAGCCAATATAGATGCATCATAGATTTTAAATTAGATATTGAGTTAGACTCAACTAAAATTTTGAACAAGATTACAATTTAGTTGAAACAACTAATGACATTAAAATAAATCTACTGCAGAATTTATTATACATATGTTAAATTAGACAATCTAAACTTCTAAAATAAAAAAAATAAAAAAAATTATAATCATTTAAAATAATACTTGTGAAAAGTCTTGTGAAAGTTCAAGATTCATTGAAGTTGAAGGTGAACCAAAACCATTGTCATCTTCAATTATCTTTTGTGAATTATTTTTGAAATTGTTTGAATCATAAGAAATCACACTTTGATCTGAAATCACACTTTGAGAATCTGTTTTTAAACTGAATTGTATTGCAGAGTTGGAATTAAAATTAACTTCTACACTATTACTATTTAAGCTCTTTTGACTTTCACATAAAACATTATCACTCGTGTTACTCCAAGCTGGGACATCCAAAATATGTTCTGTAAACTTTGTTGGCATTTCACTTTTGTGTTTCACTGCATCATCGCCGTTTAGCAAAGAACTTACAATCATATTCACAGCATTTTCACTGTTTCTAGTTAATCTTTGTTTTTGAACAAATGGTGTAGAAGTAGCACAAGGTTCCTTATTTTTATCAGATAAATCTTCAGTTGAACTTAGTAGAGGTGTATTTTTCCGTGATGAAAGATGAGTAGATGAAGGGAACATGAAATTGAAGTCACTTAAAATACCAGATGATGAACCATGTGTAGAATACGAAGAGCTTTTAGGCGATATTGATTCACTTTCAGAATATTGCGCTAGAAAAATACAAAGCAATTTCAACTTAACTCTTGATTAACTTTTTTTACAAAGAGTTATAAGTGATTTTCTAATATATAAAAGATTGGTATCATCAGCATAATGATGTACCAATTTTTTAATGATCAAGATAAATCATTTATATATAATAAAAACAATAACGGTCCAAAAACGGAACCTTGTGGAACGCCATATTTAATAACTTTATATGTGGATTCAAAACCATTAATTAAAACAAATTGAGTGTAATCCCTAATATATGAAGAAAACCAATGACTAGCAATACCATGTATTTCGTAGTGGTTTAACTTTTTTATAAGAATGTTGTGATCAACCGTATCAAAAGCTTTTTGAAGATCTATGAATACACCACAAGCAAAGGAACCACTGTCAATTCAGTACTCACCACAAATCATTTCAGTAATGAGAAGTGGAGTGATTTGAGCAAAACCCAAACTGTTGAATATAAAAACAAGCAGAATTATTCAAAAAGTTGTAAATACAAGATTAAATAAGTTTTTCTAAAAGTTTGCTGACATTTGATAATAATGAAATTGATCTGTAGTTGTTACATTCAAGTTTTGAGTCATTTTTTTATTTCTTGGGATAACAGAAGCAGTTTTTAAAATATCAAAATGACAGATTAAATAGTTCAAAAAGTACATGAGAGATATTAAAATATTAAAAGAGCTTTAAAAATAGGTATTGGAATGCTGTTAGGCCCCGAAGCCTTGTTTTCATTAAGAGAATGAATAATAAATAACACTTTGTTTTTTGTCTCTAGGTTTAATGAATATTGATTTAAGATTAGGATTTTTACGATATTGATTAAAGTCAGTATTAGATGAGCAACCATTGGAATTAGGGCAGCATTCGATCTCATTTCTATGTTTTATGGTAAGACCTACATCAAATGTATGTATCAAACTTTTTTTGCCGACCTGATGCCAAACTCTAAAAGATTGAGTTTGGCAAATTATTGCCGACCTCATTTTGCCTAATTCCGAAAGTTGGATGAGTGAATCTTTTTCTGTAATTCTTCCGGAACTGAAACAAAGAATGGACTAAAAGATTCCAAAATTTTAATGGAGTCGTATATCATAGAGTTGTTAGAGAATAAGCAGGAAGGATATGAGTTAACTCTCAAACTGTTGTTTAAAAGATTTCTAATACCATCCCATGCAGATTTCAAATTTTTGGCATTATCAGAGAAGAACCTAGAGTAATTGTTCTTTTTACTATGACAAGAATAACAAGTAAGTTTCTATATGTTTTATAAGATTTTTCTTGATTGAGCTTGTTATTAGGATTCTTTGTTTTAAGAAATTTGTTAAATATTTCAATTTGTATTTCAATTGAAGTCAAGATTCCTTGTGTTATCCAAGGTTTGAGATAAGCAGCAATCGTTGACTTTTATAATGGTGCATGTTCATCTAAGAGAATTGAAATTTGTATGACTTTTTATGTGTGTTTGTATTAAAGATGATTTTTAAGATTGTTAACAAGTTATTTATGCATATAAAATAAATAACTATTCACTTTTTAATATAATTTGGTTTTATCTATAATCTTTAAATTTATCTTTTCTTTCCTTTTTTTCTTTTACCGTTAAAAAAACGCGACCACCATTTGTGAAGACCTACCACCGAATCGATTCTATGCAGGCAACTTATTTGCAGACAGCAAAAGAATCAATTAAATGTTGGTAACAGAAGAGGAAATGGAAGATTAGGAGAGATAAAAAAAAAAGAGGGAATAACATGATAAATGCAAATGTTCAGCATTTCAAAATCAAGAAAAAGCAAGAAGAAAATGTTTGAATGTGACCACAAGGAGTGTGTAGAAAACATTTAGAGCAAACTCTATTGTTTGCACAGTTTTTAATCAATTGGTTCACAAAAAACTTAGTTGTATACAAAGTGCTCCTAATAGAAAAATGTGTCCAGAGTGTTTTGATGCAGTAAAACATGGAAAATAATTACTATGTGTGATATCTGAGATGATGAATTGATCCGGAGAGTGTCACAACATCTTTTTTTTTAACTGATCTTATTTACTTCCCTAAGGCTGAGGGGGCCACTACAGTGAAGAAGACTACTTTTTTTTTTTTTTTCAATTGTGGTTACAACCCTCTCACAGCTCATGAAATCCAAAACACAAACCTTGACAAACAAGGCTGCTGCGCGGAGAAATAAGTTGAGATAAGTACTACCAGGGACATGATGGAAATCGAACACAGAACTTCTCACTTATGAAGCAAGAAAAGTAGTGACTAACTTTCGTAATTTGTTTAAGCTTGAATTAAAGGGAAAAAAAAAAATTCAATTAAAACATTTAGTACAAATTCTAGGGTACAATAATAACAAATACTAAAATTATTTTAATCTAAAAATATAACTTTTTTACTTTGGGGTTGTTTTGAAAAAAGATTTCTATATACATATATATGTGTGTGTGTGTGTATATATATATATATATATATATATATATATATATATATATATATATATATATATATATATATATATATATATATATATATATATATATATATATATATATATATATATATATATATATATATATATATATATATATATATATTATACATGATTGTTCCACCTACGACCTGCAAACTCAACTTATCTACTGATGTTTACACTTCCTGACATTTGTACATAACAATATGTTAATGGAATTTTTTTACATTTGTATATAACATATTTGTTTATCATTTTATTATAATATTTACTACTTTATTAATTTATTTTATTACTTAATATTGACATAATGTTATTGATAATATTGCTCATATTTAGAGTAACTCACTTGAAAAATGTTGAATGATTACGATTGGTATAAAAATGTTGATTGATTACAATTGGTATAAATATTTTGATTGATTGTGATTGATATAAAAAATTTTTATAATGTTTTGTTTTTCATTAATACAAACTTTGATAGCTTAGTGGTTATGTGCACTGTCATCAATGTCAACATCTTAATGTTCCCACAGGTTAAAATTAAAAAAAAACTGTAAGCATAAAACATTTTTTTTTTTTAATTGCAGCTATTTTAAATACAAAACATAAGAAAAAAGACTTAAAATTATATACATTCCCTATCGATCAACTAACAAACTCAATTTATGCTAAGGTGTTTACAGAAGTTTATACATAACGTTATACGAATTGAACTTTTAAATTTGCTTTATTTTAAATGACATAATGTTATTACATATATACTTACTAGGGATGTACTGGAATTCCGGCCGACCTTTTTTTTATTTAAATTAATTCACTTTTGTAATGAAACTTTTTTTTTTTTACTTTTTTTTTAATAAGATGTGACACGCTGTGTAAATAAATCAAAAAATCATTATTCTACAGAGTAATGTAAACCAACTTAAGGTAAACTAAGGTAAAAAATACAAATGTATTTACAGTACTACTATTTCTGAAAATAAACTTACATTTGTATTTTTAACCTAGGTTAAACCTTCCTAACCTAGGTTAAACCTAGTTCTTCATTGCTTTGTAAGATAATGATTTTTTTATTTAATTACACAGCCTGTGTCACATGTCATAAAAAAACAATTAAAAAAAAAAAGTTTAACTACAGCCTTAAGCGAATTGATCTGAAAGAAAAAAAATCCGGCCGGAATTCTGGTACATTCCTCATACTTACATATCTGTATATAAATTTCTTATATTTCCTAATAAAAAATTGCTGAGAAATTCTTTCTTGCCATTACCCTGGCTTTACTGGTTGCTGAGAGTTTTGTGTCAAGTATGCACAAGTGGGCTCTATTATTACTGTTACTGCTACTACTGTTCCAAATAAGTTCAGCATTATCATTAAGAGATTGATAATCAACAAATCCTAGTTGGGTGTTTGCTAACTAGTGAATTATCTTGCAACTTTTCCTTCTTACCTGTTAAATTAATCAAGTCAATAACAATTTAATAGCTCTTGTTCAACTTAATAGCGCTTTCACAATAGCTATCAACACAGACTAATCTTTTTTTTTAAATCTTTGAATTTATATATATATATTTATATATAAGTATATATATATATATATATATATATATATATATATATATATATATATATACATATATATATATATATATATATATATATATATATATATATATATATATATGTATATATATATATATATATATATATATATATATATATATATATATATATATATATATATATATATATATATATATATATATATTTATAGTTTTTTAGGAGAAACTTATTTTCGTGCCTGCATTTAGAAATCAATTCCGATTTTTTGTTTAACAAACATTCTTGGTTTGCATGTGTAATTATTTGACATTTTTCTTGTAGACATAGTATGCATTTTTTGGAAATATTGTTGTATGCAGGCGCTGTTTTAAGGATGGACCAATTCAGTATGAAATCATCAATATTTTTATCTTTTAGTTACCATATATATTTTGACAGCATTGTGTCTTTTGAATACTTTTTATTTTTAAAAGATTGCTTATGATTGGCAAAACCCTTTTTCCATTCACCCTCTGTTATGCCAATATAATGCAGACACGAAAATAAGTTTCTCCTAAAAAACTATAAAAATAAGTGAGCTCAAATAATAGTTACATTAAATCCCCTTTTTTTGAAAAATATTTTTATAAAAAAAAAAAAAAAAAAGCATAAGTAATCATTTCTAAAGAATTCTTTTTAAAATAGTGTCAGCAAATTCCACAAATGTGTGAAAATTTACAGTAGTTAAAACATTTGCGACTTCCTGTAATTTAATTTTTTTTTGGTATAAATTGAAGTTTTATTAATTTGATCATTCATTTCTGATGAGTCTTTGTTGATGAAACACTGTGTGAAATAAAAAAAAAATTATAATTGCTCTGTTCTTTAAAGAACATTGAGCACTCTATTTTGTAGAACACATTTTTTTAAATTGTTTAAATATATATATATATATATATATATATATATATATATATATATATATATATATATATATATATATATATATATATATATATATATATATATATATATATATATATATATATATATATATATGTAATCAGCGCTCGAAATAGCGGCTGATCAATGATCAAAGATCGTCTACTTTTGGAAAAATTGCCATTTTGATTGCCTAAAATTAAATCTGGCTGATCAAATTTGATCAGCAGAAATTGCTAGTCAAACTTTTGTAATAAATAATACAAAAACAATTCAAATACAGAAAGTTAAAATTTAATTAGCATCAAAATTATTTTGAAATTAATTATATTCTAAATAATGTAGGTAAAAACGTCAAAACAAACAACATATTTAAATTCTGAATGAAATAATTTAAAAAAAACGTTTTTTGAAAAAAAAGAAGAACAATGAAAAAAAAGATTGCTGCCATATGCCAAACCCTCAGTTGATGTAGCAGCAGGCTATTTCAGTGTGATGTTTATATAATACTTATTAAGTAAATCTTTAGAACAGTTATACTCATAGCACGGAAAGCTTCCTCAAAACTAGTAAAAATAGTTACAGCTTTCATTTTTAATGCTATGATCCATCAATTACACCTTGCTGAGACTATTTGTCAAAAAATAAAGATATTATTTAAGTTTACAAACAAATTTGAAGTTACAAACACACTTTACCATGAACAGGCTACAAACAAATTTTAACATGAACATAAATTACAAACAAACTTTAACATGAACAGGCTACAAACAAATTTGAATATCTAACAACTTTATTTACACCTTACATTACAAAAAAACTTTACCATTTGATAATATTATTTAAACCTGAAATTAAAAACAAATTTTAGCAACATTATTTACATCTTACATTACAATCTTTTACATTTGAGATGTTATTAAACTTTACTTTACAAAAATAAAATTTTAACTTTCAATAAAACAATTCAACTTTCAATTTAGCAATTCAAAAAAATATATATTAAAACCTATTAACACCAACTTAATCAAACTATACTTAACTCAATAAAATGTCTATATTCAGCTAGATAAAATTTGCATAATTTAAAATACCTGCAATAAATAAGTTTCCAGGAGTAGGTTGAATAACAGAATTTTCGGGAGTAGGTTGATTACCAGAATTTCCAGGAGTAGGTTGAATAACAGAGTCTTCTAGTTCCTCTGCTTTATTTATATTACCATTGTTTAAAACAAAAGTTTGCATGGTTTTTAAAATATATATTTGTAACTTTAAGTTAAAAAAAGATACAAATAATAAACACAAAATAGAAGAATAAATTTTAAATAATAATAAAATAATAAAGTAAAATAAAAAAAGACAAAAATAAGGCATAATTTATTAAAAGCAAAATTTCACTATTTCTTTGATTTCAAGATATTTTTTGTTTGTTTTAAAAATAAAAAATTTAGAGTTAAAAATAAGACATTTATATTAAAAAATAACCAAATTATCAAAAAGTCAAATATAAAAGAATAACAGTTTTTTTAACGTGATAAATAACAGCATGAGTAACAGTTACAAATTTTAATCAGCAATACAACATTTGTGCAAAATTGTCAAAAATATCCTAAAATACTATAAAATTAAATTGCCTAAAACTGGGAATAAATATAAATGTTATACAAATATTCAAATATAAATATTATTTATTAGAAAAACAAGCTTCTTAACTGCTCCATTGTATCATTAGGATTTGCTACTTGGTGACCAATAACACGTTCGTCTGTATATATTTCATGATCATTGCCTCCCTAGAAACATGATATACACTTTAAACATATAACACATAAATGACATATATAACATATCATGCAGTGATGAGTTATTTTTGCATTGTATTTTATTGAAACTAAGTTTTTAACTTGAATAATAAAAATAAGAGAAATAATAATTTTACAGCATAAATTTTACAACTTGGGCTTCACAGTAGCTACTAAATTAATCTAAACAGAACTCAATAGTTTACTGAAAGTTATAACTACAATACTATTGATATTACCTATTCTGATGTCATGCTAACACTAACTGATTTTGATGTCATGCCAACACTAACTGATTTTGATGTCATGTCAACACTAAGTGATTTTGATGTATGCCAACATTCACTGATTCATCAAATAAAATTATATTTAATAGTGCTTCTAACCTATTTTCTAATATGATTATAATCTATACCTGTGTTAATCTCTAATATAAGAGATTAACACAGTGTTATAATCTCTACCTGTGTTAATCTCTAATATAAGAGATTAAACTCTAATATAAGAGATTAACACAGTGTTATAGCCATTAATGTATGTTGTAATCATATTTGGACTGTGTGTTGCCTTTTTTCTTTTTGACAAGATCCATAAGTTGGAACTTTTACAGTCATTTTCAGGCAGGTTTTAACTTGCATGCATATTTTTTAAATATGTAGCAAATTTATTTCCAACAAGGCTGCAAGCAATCACGGATTTGCTGAGTAACAAGTTTGCAAGCAATCACTAAATTGCTAAGTCAGAACATGAAGATAAGAGAATATTCTTAAGTGAAAATGTTTGAGAAAACTGAATATTAAAAACTTCAAAGAACTAGATAAATAAAAAAACTGTTATGGCAAAATGTCCTAATTTTACTATATAACGGAGTCACATTAAATTGTGTTTTGGTAGATGGAACATAAGATGGCAGCTTGCTTGAGCAGCAGCCACAGTGAATAAATGAACCCTTATATGATAACAGTATTCTACACAAGATAAGAGATTTACTGAAGTAGAGAATGGAATCAGGTCGGAAAAAGGAAAGCACAATAAGAATTGGCAACCTTACCAGGTGCCAGCTCTGACACCAGCTAAATATGTTTTCTCATGGAAATAATGGATTAAATATATTTCTTGAGAGGTCAGCAGTAAAAGATAAACCAAGAAAACAAGAAGTACAAGACTCAGTAAGAGTTTCCATACATCAAGATTGGAACATCAACAATATTGCAATTATCATTAACAGTAAATAATTAAGATTTTTTGGTTAAAAAATTCAGCAGCTACTGTGAGCCCCAAAAAGAAGACCAGCAGTTAGTTCTAAGCAAAAAGCAATAAATGTTTATGAAGATCAAATATGTAGCCAATTAAAAAGCAGTTTAAAAGTATTGCCATTAGCAAATAGAGTCACTTTAGAAATATGACTAAGAGGAAGATCATATATATAGATGAGAAACAACACTAAGTTAAGGATAAAACCTTTTGACATCCAGAGATAACTAAAAATGAAAGTTTTAATTTTAAAAGTTGGTCTAGATACACTGTATGAAGAGAGCTTATGGCAAATATCAAAGCTTTATGTAAATAAAAACTTAACGAAATTGGTAAAGTTTTTAATTACGTAAAGCTGACCAATTACTGTGTAAAAGCAATTGTTCATTTTTATTCACCCGGCCTATTAAATTTAAGTAATATAAGTTAAATGTAATTTGAACATGTTTTTATTGTTTATTTGTTTTGTTTCAAATTTACTGAATTACTTAAATTCAGTTTAGATTAAAATAAAATCAAAATAAATGACAACCAGTAGAATAGTTTTTTTTAGAGATTTTTTTTTTTAGAGATTTTTTTTTTCAGTGAAGTATTTTAATTTAAAGTCGCAGATTCATTTTTTAGTTGATTTATACTTATTGAATTAAACATAAAAATTATGATTTTCTTTTTAGCTAAAGCCTGATTGTTACTAGGAATAAATATTTTTGAAATCATACAGAAAATTTCATAGGAAAAAATTGATTAAAAAAAAAAAAGAAAAACTAAAGATCGCTTTTTTAATTACTTTCCAAGTTCTTTACTCAACATGATACACATGCACACATTCCAAGATATTATATACGCACAAAAATCTGTCAGTTATATCAATAAGCTGGTTACATTGAAATAAATTTAGAAATATAATTATTAAACAAAAAAACTTACTTTATGAACCTTATCACCAAAAAAATGAATTTCTTTGATTTTAGTCATGTCTAAATGCTGCAAACAACAGCGCTTGTCCCAACCAATAGGAAACACATCAAAACTTATTTCACCACCAATTGTGCATTGAAGGTCATAAGCAGAAAATTTTTCTTCTACTGCTTCTGCAAACTTTTTTCTAATCAAATGCTCCTATCAATGTAAACAGAATTGAAAAATTTAACAACTAAACTATTTTTTGTATCAAAAATTAATAAAAAAGTGCTAACTCTATGCCAACAATTGGCAATTATAAAATGGTAAATGTTTTATCAGGGAAAAAGTAAACAAGCTAACTACTATTTAAAACCACTTTGTTATAAAAACACTTTACAAGTGTGTGTATAACCAAATCCAATTATTATTTTAATAATTACTATTACAATTATTATTATTGTCACCACCATTATTACTTAAAATATTAATACAGGGTAGTACAACTTCATATATTAAATATTTTGACGCCTAATCTGAATGTTTTTTATATAAAGAAGCAACAATAGAAAAAAAAAGGATTTCTTCGCATATGCAAATATTATATATATATATATATATATATATATATATATATATATATATATATATATATATATATATATTATATTATATAATACAAGGATATATATATATATCCTTGTTCGTCAAGGTTCGTGTTTCGGAGTTATAGAGTTGAGAGAGGGTTATAGCCACAAAATAAGTAGCCTCCTCGTCTGTAGTGGCCTTCTCGGCCTTGAGAAGGTGAAGTATAATAAAAATATATATATATTTTGCTGTGAGCATATATTGTTAATTTTGCTGTGAGCATATATTCAGCATGAGTGCTCGATGAATAATATCAGAGCTATATTATTTATACTACTAAAAGTTTCATGCAATTAGCAATCATCAGGTAAAAAATACATTGTTTTTTTTGTTAAAAAATATACTCTTAATAAACATTGTGACGTTCAAAAACAATTATAAAATGTTACTATTTGCAAGCGTTTGGTTATTTAATCTTTGAGCTCATGGTTGTCAAGCAAGAACTTGTTTTCATGACGGCGCTTTATGTTATTTCTGTTGTTTTTTTTTAATAAATAAAAAAAACTGCCCTATAATAGGAAAATGTAGAGCCTCAAACATTATTTATAAATGTATAGTATCCCCCCTAACACTCCAGAAAAAGTATATATTGGTCTAGCAGAAGGTTAATGGAAGAAAAGATGGGCTAACCACAAACACTCATTCACTAACAAAAAGATGAAAAACTCAACCACCCTTTTAAAATATATATGGCAGATAAAAGAAAACTTAAAAACAACACCCAAATTAACCTAGTCAATAATTAAAGAAGTCCCCGCCTACAGCAACGTAACAAAAATATGCTTGCTTTCCCTTCATGAAAAACTTTGCATAATATCATATTTTTTACCTGATGATTACACTTGGTACCTTTAAACTTGATTATTGTTTTTGATATGCTGTATTAACTAAAATATTTCTGTAAATTATCACATATGTTATCTAAACATTTTTAAATAAGTATACAAAGTTTCTTTCTTCCTTCAAAAACCAAACTGTATTCCACCAAACTGTGTTTTATCAAAAAATTACTATGCAAAATTAATACAGAAGTTTGTCTTATTAATTTTGCATGTTTATTTTTGATGGAAATTTTTATACATACATACATACATACATACATACATACATACATAAATACATACATACATACATACATACACACATACATACATACATACATACATACATACATACATACATACATACATACATACATACATACATACATACATACATACATACATACATACATACATACATACATACATACATACATACATACATACATACATACATACATATACACAAACAATATTTATATTAATAAAAAAATGTAGAGCCTTATGTAAACTATTTTTTTATGTAAAGATACAAAGAATCATCAATTTTTTTAGAAAGCTGTTAACTAAGGAAGAATGCATTTTTTGAAAATCCAATACTGAATACATTATTTTTTAGTAGGGTAAAGCCTTTAAATATGATATATCTGACATAATCAGTATGACAGCATGAAAAAGTAATATCAAATACAATTCTAATCTAGATATGAATTACTAAAATGATTGCTTTTATTAATTATTTTTTGACTTTATTCAAATCTTTTTATATAGGCCCTATACTTATAGAAAAATACTATATAAGAAATAACATATCTAATGAAGTTAAATTGAACCTGGTCATATTTATTAAACTGAGTTCTTTCTTCTTGAGAACAACTTCTTCCAACCGGACACACATTAATAAGTCCATTTCTGTACTCAATAAACGTACCTCTAAATTTACAAATCATCATCTTAAACAAAATTTTGATTTATTTATAATCAACTTTTATACTTATTACTTAATTCTAGATAATTTTTTATTATCAAACTGAAAATAAATTTTTATCTAACCTTTTACATGGCAGGGTCAATTTTGACATATATTCTAAACAAAAGTTGATAATCTCCTGAGATTTTTCTTCGCCATAATGCTTGAGAAAACTCTAAAAAAAAAATTTAGAATTAACTAAATAATTCAAGAAAAAAAGTTATATTTATTATAAAAACAAATTTAAATATTACTATATTATTATATTATTATAAATATATTTATATATTTATTTATAAAAACATCAATTTATAGTAAAATGTGATTATAGTAACATACTATAAAAACTCAATTAAAAAATATAATAAGTATATCATACAAATGATTGTTTTATTTTTTGAGTATGTTATTTTTCCTATGTATTCGTAAATCCTGAGATAAATTGTATAATTTAACTCTTGCTACTGGAAAATCATTTTTCTTCTCCAAAAATTTTTTTGTGTTTTCCATAAATGACTATTTTTGTTAACTATTTCAAAGTTTAACAAATTGTTTTTTAATTGCTTTATAATAATAAAAATATTTGTGTATAAGTATTAGCTGATATTCAAATACCTTGGAAGTCTTAAAAAGTTCTTCCAAACTGAATTTTCAGCATTACACAATTGTTTGCAGTGATGTCCTGTTTGAATTGAAGTCATATTGTGGAAAAAAAGCTAGTAAACTATTTTCTTAAGTTAACAACTTTGATAATAATTTCCCTCTTCAAGCCTTTTAGTATTATGAGAGAGGATTTAGATAAACAAATGAGCACTGACTGTTAAGTCTCATGGAAGTATTTGAATGCAATTATTCAATGTAAAATATTCTAACTATTTATGTATTTAAATATTATATATCAATGTTCAGTTTATTAGTCAATCAGTTTAAATTAGTATTAGGAAGTTGAAAATTTCATAAAAAACAAATGATTCTTTAAAAAGTTATTTAAGTAGCGAAAATTTATTTTAAGAATTGCTTAAGAAAACTTGATCATTCAATTTGAGAAAACTTGATCAATCAACTTAAGAAAATTGGCAAATGGCAGTTTTGTAATAGAACTCCATCATTAATTTGCTACTTTTGTTAAAATAGGAAAAC